GACAATGAAGCAGGTCGGATAAAAGTGAGCAGTACCTGCGATTGGCATGTATACTCATAAACCCCATATAAAGAGAAACATGTTCCTCATGCATTAGAACATGATGGCGGTGAGGTTGTGAGCCTTACGCTCCGGCCGTCCTTTACGCCCACGAAGATTCCTAGTATTCCTTTCTGTTAAGAGACTAAGTCGCCGCCAGAGCCATAGTGCGGCTGGAAGGATTAGATAAATTGAAAAATCCAATGACTTCATTGTAAATCGAACCTACGACCTTAGGGCTTGTAGCAAAGTGCCCCTTTACATAGATATTTAAATATCAAAGATAAAAATTCCAAAAACTAGAGGGTGGGAGTTCGAAAGCAGGAAACTAGGTAACCGGTTTTCAGTGATCCTTAATTATCATTATCAGTCTTTCAGAAAGTTGGGTACAGCCAACCACCCGTTAAGTTCACTGACATTATTCAAACAACAGCTGCTGGGTTCTACACACCTGGTACCAACCAATTACTCTAAATCAAATACGAGTTGCATTTATCTAGGGCAAAAATATGTTTAAACTTCACTTACATAAGTTACGACAAAAACCAAGAAATTTTTTCTCACTGCCAGAAACGTCAAGGACGTTGTCTACGGATCGACGAGGTTGCAAACTAAGAAATCAGACAGAGTAGAAAATGCAGTGCCGTACCGGTATTTAGGATTCGGGCGTTTTAAAGAAGCAAATGTCAACAGCACATTTAGCCTAGGATCTTCTGAGTTTAACAAGCAAAGCTCATCCTGGGTAACCACTTACAAAACTAATTATTTTCTTATAAGGAGCCGGGATAGCACAGTCGGTATAGCGACTGGCTACGGGCTGGACGACCGAGGGGTTGGAGTTCGAATCTACACGTCGTGCAGACCGGCTCTGGGGCCCACCAGCCTCATATCCAATGGGTACCGGGGACTTTATCCCCGAGGGTAAAGCGGCAGGGGCGTGAAGCTGACCACTCACCTCCAGCTAGTGCCGAGGTCAAGAAAATATGGATCTATACATCCACTCCCCCATACACCTTCATGGCGTAATGCTTAATTAGTTAAGCGCAGGGACAACTTTACCGTTACCCAGAAGAACATATTTCTCTACCTCCATGAATACACCAAACTTCATGAAATAAAAATACTAAGATTTCCAATGGGAGCGTCTGGTCGCGGTAAAGCATGCATGCCGTTTGACAGGTCACAGATTCGAATCCGGACTAAGCGATAATTATATAATATTTTAAATAATTTTTTAATTCTCAAATTCGTGTAAATAATACCGTGACTACTGCTTATTAATTTACCCATGGCAGATTAATAGTTGAAGGAAGAGTAGTTCGAAGCTTCAGATCTACTAATCAATTAATTTTTGTTTCTTATATTTGCGAGATGTTATAAGGGTTAACTAATAAGTCAGTGGCTTCCAACATGCTAAAGTTCACTAACAGTACAGAATTGCTTTGCAACTTAATGCTTACATCAATTGCCACTTATTATCCCGTTCCACTTACAGACGGAAATGAGAGATGCCTGTTGTCATGGTAACTAGTGTTTCCGGTTCAGCGGTTAATAATTAGCCTACGAGTTGAATTTCCAAAGATTAATCTGTTCAGCGAAAGCAAACCAATATGTATTTCATAAATCTATAATTAAGGGCTTTGACATTATCCGAAATAAGATATTTAAGAGTACTTTTCAGAAACAATTTGTCCTAATTAGTATAATCTAGAGTCCGCGATATATTACAGCGGTACGTCATATAGAAATGTATTCCGTACAACCATAAATAGGATGCTAAATCGACATCTATATGTAGACGAGTCACTGAGGACCAGTGCCATTAATTTCAGGTATGCCAATAGATGTCATGCTGCCCGCGAAGTTAGAAGTTCAACACACCTTCTTCTATATCCGAGAATATCGCTTTATGTGCTCCCAATATTAAATGTTAAATATCTTTAACATATCTTCATCAAATTAAGGATCATTTAAAGATCTGTGATTCTGTGTAGTGACTATGAACAGTATTGTGAGACTGTGACGTCGTGTAGTCCGGTATCAATACAAACATCACAGACGAACGTGTTGCTCTCCTATTAAGGGAAAAAGGGTATAAAGAGCAATAAAAAAGTTGCATAATTATACAGGGACAGAGACAACCGGGGCTCTTCAACGAACAAAAGTAAATACCTGATACAGCGTTATTTTTTTAACCACAAACCCTTCTGTCTCGAAATTGAACAGGGGTCAGTTATATAAGCAAGTACCTTAATAAAAATCTGGTATTTCCTCTGCAAGCTATGAACTTGAAACTTCAAGAACTATTATAACCATCTATATAAGACACAGGACAGCCTTTCTTTAATAAAGCTCTATATGAAATCTCTCCTTCTAGAGTTGAGACTTACCCCATAATTTAAGACGGCCGATATAATACATCTCATGCTGTGGTATAAGATAAATTTTGGTCTCCCCAAACTCTATTATTAGCCAGACGTATCCATTCTAAAAATTATTAGACAAACTTCCTTCCAGTGCCAAAAAGGGACCATACATAAAAATTAATGGTTCCATAGGACGGCCAGAGCCGATAGCGCCAAAAGACGCTCATCTTTTTTTAGACAGACAGCTTGCCCCAAACATTCGGGTGTTGAGACAAGTATTTGAAAGACAAAGAGTCGCTGTACTTTGCTGTAGAGCACATAGACCCATCTGTCCTTTCTATCTTAACATCTTCAAGTAACAGGACTATAAGAATAAATTACTGATAAAAAATAACAGCCAGAAACGCGTATTGCCTACTTATGCAAGGAAAGTATTTAAGCTAGCGATAAACACACACATTTACATCTCTCTGTCTCTCTCTCTGCAAGCTGCGCAGGTCTGCATTTCGCGCACTCTGTTATTGTCGGTGGCGTGAATTTAGAACACGAATATCTAAATAGTTAACTCCGTGGAAGAGAGTCTTTCTTTAGAAGCAAAGAAACGCCTCAAACACTCAAGTAATTCCTCGCATTTTATGGAACCCGAAGATTCATTACAATGTTCACAACAGCCAACCATCCGTCCCCTATCCTGAGCCAGATGAATCCAGTCCAAAACTTTCCACCACGATTCTCGAAGTTTCAATTCAGTATTATCCTCTTAACTGCGTCTACATCTTCCAACTGGCATCTTCCCTTTAGATTTTCAGGGCACAATTTTGTATGCATTTCTCATTTCTGAGAAGTAGTGGGTCTGAAACGGGGTCCACTAAGCCTCGTAAGGATAATTGAGGAGCTATTTCAAGGAAATAGCGGCTGCGGTCTAAAAAAACTAAATTAACGGCAGTGGGGATCCGTTGAGCTGACCACGTGAGACCACTATTCGCTAAAGTTGGTACTAACTTCGACGACAAGCGGCGGTAGCTCGGTCGGTATAGTTCGCTTGCAGACTAAAACCACGTTTTTTTTTCCCCCATGTGTGCTTACAAGTTCGTAGTGGTGAAAAGAAAAGTAACTGTTAAAATGCGATATGCGGACCACTGATACGAAACAGAAACATGGTGAAAGAGGCCAGACGAACAGTACGAACTTAGAGTCCTATCATCAGGCAGACGTAGGACAAAACATGGAAATGTTATCGTTTTTGGTAACGTCGGTGGTTTCCCTGTGCCGTGATAAACGCTGAAACGGGGGTACGTGTCTATGAACCCCAAGAGCTTGGTACCTGACGTGGCGGTAAAGTACCACATTATCCCAAATACAGAGATACTCCTTACTTCTACAAGGAGAAAATCCAGAAGGAAATTCTTTTTAATTGGATATGCATTTAGTTACGAGGGTTGTGAGCAAGAAGAGGTAAAATCTGTCCAGTTAACAAATGATAAATTCGAAATCAATGCCTTAAATATAATTCTAAGTATTTTCAGGCATGACAGTAGAACTAGCAATCAGAACTCCTTATAAGCTACTTAATACTCATATTTATTCTCAAAGATTGTAAATTATAGCGACCTTCTGTTTCTAAGAAGCAGTATCTGGAAAAAAATAAAACTCGCCTTATATTCAGGCTGATATAGCAAAAGATTAATATGTATTTGTGTTTCACTAAGTACCTACCACCATGACGACGTATGGCGGAGTGGACGTAAAGCCCCACAAATTCTTATCCTCGGCGCACTTGTGTTAAAAGCTATCCCTCTAACAGGCCGTTGAGGCTCCCACATTTCCTAGACAATCGGCTCACAGATGGCGGTGAGGTTGTCAGCCTTACGCGCCGGCCTGTACACCCAGGAATATTCCTGGTACTCATTTCTGTTAGAGGCCGAGTCGACCCCAGGGCCCTAGTGCGGCTGGAAGGATCAGGTCACTTGACAAATCCAATGACTCCATCGGGAATCGAATCCGCGACTTTCCGGCTCGTATCGTAGTGCCTCAACCAACTACGCCACCGCGTGCCCACTGCAGGGTTCTGGCAGGAGAGAAAACGTGGTGAGTAATCTACACGCGACAGAGGCAGAGAATCGGTTTCGCGTAAGAATTGAGACTGCGTGAGTTTGACAGCCTTCCTCCGCAGTAGGGGAATCCCAGCAGACTGTCCCTTAGGCTCTACGTTATTGTGATAGCCCGGCACAGTACAAAGAGCAGTAAGTTCATAAGAAGTGACCTATGCTGCAGAGCGCAGTACAATTATCTGGTATGCGAAACAAATTATGATCTATTGGCTAGATACACGTACTTATGCAATTGGAAGGTTTTTAAAATGTTTCTCCGTGATGAGACCGTAACACATGTATGTCCTATAGCGCTGAATGACTCATTTCCTGGCAAGAACTTTGTACATAATTTGAGACTGATAGATTTATTAAAAGATTCTTCTGCAGACATTTATATAAACATATTAGACTTTTACGTATATTATAACGATCGTAAGACGTTATAAAGCAGAAAAATGAAACGGATTATTTCTAATTCAGTTCCTTGAATAGCATTACTTACCCCAAATTCCAGATTTCTTGAAGATTACAGGCGCCATTGCACATAAATGGAATTTCGAATGCGTCGTTACTTCAGCGCACATCTGGGAACGCAGTCACTGAAACTGAAAATTATCAAAATGAGATAAATTCCATTAAAATGGTAATTCGTGTTTATAAACAATAGGAAATCACTTTATTTGGGCACTAACAGCATCCTGATGAAACAGCTGTAGGTGAAGAAAACAAATTAGTCAGAATGTGCGTATCTGAAGACCTCTCGTTCATTTTCATTCATCCATCAATGGCTCTACAGCCCTGGCCTCTTCTTCGGTTTCGTAATCATTTTTACACAGACGGCAAGACTCCTTGGACGAGTGATCAGCCCGTCGCAAGGCCGCTACCTACACACAGGACAACACAAACACAGAAAAAACGCATATACAGACATCCATGCCTCGAGGGGATTCGAAACCAACGAACTGAAGGCAGTTCACGCCTTAGACCGCGTAGCCACTGTGATCGGCTTTATGACCTCTCGCTGGGCTAATATATGCTTTCATGCTGAATATTAATTAAACATTACCGCGTTAATGCTTTTCTTACATTTAAAAAAGTAAAAAGTAAGTAAAGCTATCTCTGTAACAGGCCGTGAAGGGTTGTGAGACGTTGAGGATCCCAGACTTTCTAGACAATCGGCTCAAAGATGGCGGTAAGGTTGTCAGCCTTACGCGCCGGCCGCGCTTTACTCCTCAGGAAAATTATTTAATTAATTCCTGGTACTTATTTCTGTTAGAAGCTGAGTCGACTCCAAGGCCATAGTGCGGCTGGAAGGATTAGGTCAATTGAAAAAATTCCAATGACCTCATCGGGACCTGAACCCGCGACCTTCCGGCTTGTAGCATTCTGCCTCAACCAACTACGCTAGCGCGTGCCCCCTGTTTTTCTTACATTTATTAAGATAAATTCATTTAGGCCTACTGACGTTCAGTAAGTCTGCTTAATATTATACAACCTAAGCTCATTACGATATTGCCTAAAATATCCCTATGGAGGAAATGTAGACTAAAAAATTAATTAACCTAGCAATATGCAATGGGTGCCAAGATAGCTCGGGTAAAGTAGTCGAGGCGTGAAGCTGACCATCGTCTGCTTCTAGTGTCCAGGCCAAGAATGATGGAGTTACACCTCCACTTCCTAGTACGTCTTCATGACATAGTGCTTAATTAACTGCACACAGGGCCAGTACATTTAGAATAAAAAAAGAGTAAAGCTATCCCTGTAACAGGCCGTGAAGGCCCATAGGGTTGTGAGACGTTGAGTGTCCCAGTTGGCTCAGAGATGGCGGTAAGGTTGTCAGCTTTACGCGCCGGCCGCGCTTTACTCCCCAGGAAATTTATTTAATTAACTCCTGGTACTAACTTCTGTTAGAGGCTGATAGAAATTGTAAAACTGAGCTACACAAAAGACTAGAATAAAACCATATACAGGTAAAACAGAGCTCAGCCGAAAATGTGGCTTGCATATAATCGTGACGATGTAAAACTAATTCTTACCTTGTAAGAAATACCACCTTTAATTAGTTTTCTTTTCCCCCCGTAAACGGGAATCTCTGATTCATTTCATTTAACTGCTTTTCATGTCATCTTCATTGCAGTTTACATACGGGCAGCTACTTTATATATCTCTACAAATTCCGTGCGCGTCCCATGGTTTGTGTGACCTGTCACTGGTCGGTTCAACACGCTAAGACTGTGCCCCAAATTTTATGCCATATTTCTTCTAGAATTTATACGCTATTAAATGTATACATTGAAAATTATAGCAAGCAAGATATGGTTTATATAAAAAAGTGGATCATGTTTATGGTAATTGCTGCATAATATAAACATATTCTTCATCAACCTACCCCACCCTCCCCAACACCCTGTTTAAATATCACCTGCAAAGAGACACTTATAAATCAGCGACTCCTTAACACGCGATGTTCCCACGTTTGCGACCTCACACCCAAACGCGCATGCTAATTGGACTCATCTCTCGATGAGTGTAGGTGCGAATTAGCCAGACCTCCCAGAATTCTCTTGCGTGTTCGGATCCGTGACGAATGGACTTGGTTCGATAGCAGCACACACTTAATTTTCTCCAGCAACTTCCTCACATTTGGACAAGCGAACAGAGGGGCACGAATGGGGGAAAAGAGTGACTGAATGACCCCACCCCCAAAAAAAAGTATGAAAAATTGCAAGGACGAGAGAGAACGTTGTAAGGGATCGAGCCTGTCCCTTGAAGCCTATCTTACATGACTATCATTCTTACATAACCTACTCCGTTTTATCAAAAGTGACTGACCATAAGTTAGTCGATCTTTACTTTTTTTTACATTACATTACTCATGATGCTGAGCCCTTCTGCAGGAGCCGCCAATTCTGCAGCTACTCAAGAATTTCCCAGCATTTTATGGAACCCGATAGTTCATTACCGTGTTCACAAGAGCCCTCCACAGGTGCCTATCCTGAACCAGATCAATCCAATCCATACCATTCCATCCTATCTCTCTAAGATGTACACAAATAAGATCCTCTTTACTTACTATACAGTATGTCATGCGGCGTCCTCAAGTTGCGGATGGAGAACACGGCCTTCATATGTGTAGCTTTATTGAGAATGTGCGAACAGCTTACAACTGTGGTCCTCAAACTTTTAGATCAGGTGTGGGACTAACGACTCCACAATGTAATAACCAACATACTATGAACTGCCCATAAAAGTGAGGAAAAAACAGTAGAATTCTCGAAAAAGGATTCGTGAACTTCGGTTCCTGACGGCAGGGCACTTTCTGACATAGTGACAATTTACGTTTCGAGAATAAAACAGAAAATTGTACCGCCAATTCTTTTGATCAAGGCACTTTAGCAAAATTTGCAGCTACGGTATAACAGAAATTAGTAAACAAATTACCCCATCCATTTCCATTTGACCCTTTTCAGCACACTGGTTACTTATACGTACCAGAACAAAAAACAAAAATTCCTTGGTTTTAGTTCGCAAGCGAAATATACCGACCGAGCGACCGCCGCTTGTCAGCGAAGTTAGTGCCTACTTTTGCAGATTGACGGTTTCACGTGGTCTGCACAACGAATCCCCACCGCCATTAATCTCGGTTTTCTAGACCGGAGCCGCTATTTCCTTGAAATAGCTCCTCAATTATCATCACGATGGTGAGTGGACCCCGTTCCAGACCCATTACTTCTCAGAAAATCTGGTAACGCCGAGAATCGAACCCGGACCTCTGGATTTGTACCACATGCAATAACTATAGAACATTCTTAATTTTTCCCACATAGAATACTTACGTTTAATATAATTGTCAGGGTTTTTATATCATGTTAACATTTAAATTTAGGAATAATAAACGCTGTATTCTTGGGTTTCAGTCTTATAGCTACCGATAGTTGGAAGGCTAATGCTCTGCGGTTGCATACATATCATCTAATTTAGAAATACTACTTTCTTTGGTCTTCGTTTACATACTTCAATAGTACGATTTAATGCGGGCATGAATAAACATCTACGTATAAATTAATGATAAATGATACAAACTCCGTCCCAAGTGCAAACAGTATATATTATATGTCTTTGATCTTGTTCTCTTATACACTACATGTTTCGGCCTCTAACGGCCATCATCAGGTGTATACTCTTACGTTGCTGCCACACTGAACCCAGTCTAAAATTTAACATTTATAAAACACATTGTTATTTTCTTCGTTATTATCAACATCTACCTCGTTGATATCTGTCTGGTATGTAGATTATTTTGATTATTTGATTTTTGATTTTGATTATTTGTATAAATTAATCTCTATTAAGTTAAATACAAAGGGATTAAGATGATTGAAGTGTGCCGTCGGTCCCTGTATTAGCGGGTCCAGATACGTGCTTGTACAATTAACTCTGCTGTACTACGTAGAAGCCGGTCTATAGCGCAGTGCAGTGGCAAGTTTTTGCTGACGACCGGCAACGATAAGGTTATCATTTGTTCCGCTGGCGCCCGCCTGTCTGACACAGATGTTTTCCCTGTAAAACCACGTAATTTCCTGTGATGTAATGTGTCACATGAAGAATACACGTGTCGTTTGACATTTTCAATGACATTCATATTGCTCGGGCCAATGACCGTCTCATTGCCATGGCTGAACATTTGTTTCTCGCGGAGGCAACTCCTGCTGTACTGCAACGGTAAGGGGTAAGAAGTGTTTCCTGCGGATATCCTTCTCCTTTCTAGGAAACTATGATGCATCATCCTCATGTCGTGTTCTCTATCCCTGAACGAATTCACGGATTTCAATCGAGCTCCGAACTACGCGGTAGCGTAGTTGGTTGAGGGGCTATGCTACAAGCCGGAAGGTCGCGGGTTCAAGTCCCGATGAGGTCATTGGATTTTTTCAGTTAACCTAATCATTCCAGCCACACTATGGCCCTGGGGTCGACTCAGCCTCTTAACAGAAATGAGTACCAGGAATTAATTAAATAATGTTCCTGGGGAGTAAAGCGTGGCAGGCGCGTAAGGCTCATAACCTTACCGCCATCTTTGAGCCGATTGTCTAGATCAGCCGTGTCAAACATGCGGCCTCTCAACTTTTAGAGCTAATTGATATTAAAATCAATACTACAATTTTAGTAGAAATATTTTTTGTGAAGACAATTTTCCAACAGACCAGAAGACAAGAAGTCTCACGCAGACAATAAATTAGCAGGCTGCAGGAAATTCAATGTTTTGCTATTTCTAACATAATTTCTTGTGCAATCTCTCTCTTTACATACTGAAACGCTGTTTGATACTTGTCAAAAATGGCATTCTCTTGCTTGTTAAAACTGTAAGATATGTGACTTTAGGTAATTATATTGAAATTATTCCTAAATAATAAATAGAATTAAATTTCCTTGTATCAAAATCTAATGTATATTTCTATTTTGAAGTGCGGCCCTGGACTATTACTTATAGGGCTGAGGTGGCCCTCTGTACAAGTTGAGTTTGACATCCCTGGTCTAGATAATGTGGGACCCTCAACGTCTCACAACCCTATGGGTCTTCACGGCCTGGTACAGGGATAGCTTTACT